ACTGTGTGACTTTGGACAAGTTGCTTAACCTCTCTGTTTCAAATGAGGGGGCTGGATGAGATGACGCAGCTTTGCAGGCCCTCCCAGGCCTGACTGTAGAGATCTGTTTGCAAGGATTGTGCAATAGCCGCTGGCTCTGTCCTAACTGCTGGGTGTGGAGGGTGAAGTCACCTCGCCAGCCCCTCAGGGTGGGCCCAACTGGCTGCTGCTGAGTCTCCTTAGGAGGGACACTAGGGCCTGAGCCTAGGCTCTAGGCTCTCTCCAGGGATGGTGCCAGGGACCACTCTGCCCAGTGAGGGAAGCTCCAGGCAATCTGAGAATCACAAGCATGATCCACTGCTTGGCTCTCGGAGGCCTGGTCCTCAACAGACCAGGTTTACACAGCTGGATGCCTAGGTCTACCCCCTTGCTCAAGTCAGACCTGGGTTTGGCTCTGTGAGTGATAGTTACTAGCTTTGTCACTTTGGGTATGTCCCCTTTCTGAGCTTCTTTCCTTGCCTATAAAATGGGGCTAAGGATTACCTCACAGGATCCAGGGATCATTGATAAGTTCATGAAATGATACCGGTAATGTGCCTGGCACAAAAGTGAGGCTTAATAAATGTCAATTTCAATTCTCCTCTCTTCTTCTTCTTCATTTTTTTTTTTTTTTTTGAGACAGAGTCTCACTTTGTCACCCTCGGTAGAGTGCTGTGTTGCTCACAGCAACCTCCAACTCTTGGACTCAAGCAATTCTCTTGCCTCAGCCTCCAGGAGTAGCTAGGACTACAGGCACCTGCCACAATGCCTGGCTATTTTTAGAGATGGGGTTGCACTCTTGCTCAGGTTGGTCTTGAACTAGTGAGCTCAAGCAATCCACCCTCCTCATCCTCTCAGAGCGCTAGGATTATAGGCATTCTCTTCTTTTCTGATAGTTTCAATAGTACCCTTAAAAAAAATTGTACCATGTCACAAATTGTGGACCAACTATGTGCCAGGCACTGCCTTATACGTAGTAGGGTGGGGAGTCCAAAGATGAGAAAAACACAACACAGTCCCTGCCCTCAAGCTTACAAGATGACAACCTATAGGGAGTAAGACAAGGATCTAAATTACCTTTACACAATCAGAATATTCATACCATGTCCTCCAGGGCCCAGGAGAGGGATTTAGAGAAAGTGGGGGAGTCTTCACCTATAAAGATTATGCTGCAGCCAGAGGGGTCAGTATGCTGGCAGTGGGGAGCCATGTGAGCAGAGGTGTGAGGGTAGGACAGGATGAGAATATTGGAGGAACACAGGCCTGCGGAGCATTTCTAGAGCACAAACAGAAATCTGAAAGAGAGGAGGCTAAGCAAGACAGATGGACAAGGCCCAGTGGTGGTGAGCTTTGGAATTAGTGGAAAATGGGGAGTCATAGAAGGATAATGAGGGAAGGAGCCACGATATAGCATAGCAAAACAGTAAAAGGGCTGTGAGAACCATCTCTTTCCCCTGACAGCCTCCTCTGGGTGTAAGCCACACCAGGACCCTTTCTCACATACTGTTTTACTTAGTCCTAGATGGATATTATTCCCGGTTTACAAATGGGGAAACTGAGGCTCTGAAATGTTTGGCTGCTTGCCCAAGGTTGCACAGCAGTAAGTTGGGGCCACTTTATGACTGTAATCAGTAAAAGCTCTACTCTTTCTTTTCCCGTGATCCCAAGGCAGACCCAAAGGTGAATCTGAGAGCAGAATTAAGACAGCAATGTAGGCCAGTCCCAACGCAGGCTCCACTGAGTCTCCCCACATCCCCTAGAGGCAAAGGTTATTATGTTCTCCATCATCACAAGAAGATGAAGTGACTTACTCAAGGCCACACATTAAAGGTGGAGAGTCCAGCCCAGAACTTCTACCTTATTTTCTTTGAGATGGAGTCTCACGTTGTCACCCTTGGTAGAGGGCCGTGGCATCATAGCTCACAGTAACCTCAAACTCTTGGGCTCAAGTGATTCTCCTGCCTTAGCCTCCTAAGTAGCTGGAACCACAGGTGCCCACTATAATGCCCAGCTATTTTTAGAGATGAAGTCTCACTCTTTCTCAGACTGGTCTTGAACCTATAGGCTTAGGCAATCCACCTGCCTCAGCCTCCCGGAGTGCTAGGACTACAGGCATGAGCTACTGCGCCAGGCCCTTTTAGGAAGTCCAAAGTTCTGGACCCTTCCCACTACTCCATACTGCCTCTCACTTTATTTCTAAGCATGACTAGAATTGGGAACAGCACAGGTCAGAAAGATCCAATTCTCTCTCTTGAGTCAACATCCACTGATTCATCCCACTTTGCACGTTTCTGTTAGGCAGGCCCACAGCACCAGCCCCTCACCCCCTTCTGCAGTTACAAAGGTCAGATTATGCCAGCCCTCTCTCTGGCTCCATTCTCCAACTAGAAGCAATATCTCCATGGCCTACATGGGGAGCCTGTCTCTGGGCAGGTGATCCAAGGATCCAAGCCACTGCGTATTAGTTGGTGTCAAGGAGGAACTTTTCCTGAGCTGGGCCTCTGTCCCACCTACATCTACTGGTATCTCTCATAACCCAATGGCTCGTGGTGACCTTTTCCTGGGATCTGATGCCAGGCCCTAAAATGCACGGTGGCAAAATGACACAAGCATAAGAACAGCTCTGCTGGGAAGTAAAAAACCACAACATTTAGTGAATCACAATGAGAAGGGGTAGGGTACGGCCTGGGTTTCTTAAACCCGTCATTTCTCACTTGGCCTCAAACCCTCCACAGAGTAGGCCACTGTAGACCCATTCTACAGATGGTGGGCTTGGAGGCTCCGTTGGAGAAGAGACTCACCTAGGATCATGCAGCAGCAAGATGACAGCATGGGGTTCAAGCTTACACTTTATGCCATTTCCAGCCTTTGATGAGAGGGAAAACTTCAGGCCCAGCCTGTGCCACTACTACAGTGGTATTTTCATAAAAGAGTTTTATTTTTGAAAAATGTGGGTAGGGGAAGTAATGAATGTTTTAGGTAAAAAATAAAATAAAAATGGGGACAAATCAAGTTGGTATGCAGTCAAAAGTCATCAGCTGTAACATTCTATGATTCAACACATAAACTATGTAGAGTTCTTCAGCTGAATAAGTAGTATAAACAAACAAAGAATTTTTCTTCTCTCTATACAGGGAGGGTGTTGTTCTTATCTGAGAACCTCTTTGCTGTCCTCGACCAATGTTCACAAGAAGGTAGAAAACGCCCTTAAAAAAAAAAACCCAACAACAACAAACCACCACTTAGTGCTCTGAAGTTTTCTAGAAGAATCCAGGCAGAAAGTTTGCGCATGTAAAAACACAGAAGCTGAGCAAGGCAAATGCAGAAGTTGTCTTTGGTGATACAACCCACAGAGCAACTGGCACGAGGTGGCCGGTGAAATCCCCTCCCCCTGGCAGGGGAAGAAACCACAGAATGTTCCTGACTCTGCACCCCAGCCAGTCGGCAGGGTGGCGCAATGTTTATGCTTGTGTACTTAGCGCCTCGTGTCCCTGTAGCAGGCTCCGCTGCCCAGGGTCCCTCTGTAGGGCTGAGTGCACGAATAACGTGGGGAGTCTTCCTGGGCTTTGGGTCCAGGTCCTGGAAATCAACCAAAAGCCCGGAGAAATGGGATTTCGAATTCAGGCTATATAGACCCAACAAACTGGGGGGTGGGGGTGGGCATCGGAGCTCCACAGCCCCTGCCTAAAATGTGCTCAATCTATATACTGTTTTTTTTTTTTTGAACAGAGTCTTGCCCCAAGGTAGGGTGCCCTGGCCTCAGCTCAGCTGACAGCAATCTCAGACTCCTGGGTTCAAGCCGTCCTCCTGCCTCAGCTTCCCCAGTAGGTGGGACTATATAAGCGCCCACCACAATGACCAGCTAAGTTTTATGTTTTTAGTAGAGAGGAGGTCTCATTCTTGCTCAAGCTAGTTTTGAACTCCTGAGCTCAAGCGATCGTCTCGTCCTGGCCTCTCTGGGTGCCAGGATTACAGGCGTGAGCCACCACGCCCGGCTAAAATACTGTATTTTTATAAAATAAAGGAATGAATAAACTAGATTTTGAGCCAACGTGACAAAGGAGTGTCTGGCGGCCCCTGAAGGGGCGCTGTTGAGCCGCGCTGCAGGTCGCTCCCCCCAACAACGGCCGAACCCTGGAATCTCCTACCGGATCTTGAGATCCCCCACCCTACACTGGGATTACAGTCCGCGACCTGTCTTCCTTGGCTTAAAGTCTTCCAGGGACCATTTGGCTAGGAATAACATTTTTTTTTCTGGTTGAAGGCTTGCTTAAAGGCATTTTTCACGGCAGACATAATTTTTTTAAAGTAACATTAGAGAAAGTCTGGGAAAGAGGAAAACATTTCCCTGAACCTCTTCGCCCCAATTCACTCGGGTCGTTCTTGGTAGAAATGACATTTATTAGGGACCAAGTTCATTTTTCTCTAACCCTCAACTTCTTCACCGCTCCCAGTCCCCACTCGGGCACTGTGACACTGGACAAACTAGTCGCTTCTCCTTGGGAATCTCGTTTCCTTCCCTGTTAGTGACGAGGAAATGAGAGAAGGGCACATGTGTATGCCAAAGCACAGGAAGCCCCTTTCCGCTCGAAAACTGTGGCAAGGGTAGCGGGCAGAGTAGGAAAGGACGGGGGAGGGGTCTCAGGGAGGGGGAGGGGAAGGAGCGACCAGGCGGAGGCAGGTGGCCTTGCCCGCTCTCCCTGCCGCTTGCATCTCAGAGGTCAGCCCTTGGCTGGCAGCACGCCCTCCTCCTCCCCAGGGACGCGCCAGGCGCAGGCCGGACAGTAGGGTGGGGGCCGGGCGGCGAGCCAGCGCGCTTAGAGCCGACCCTGCTCCGAGGCCGATGACGTCTTCGCCTCTGGCTCCGGTTGCGCCCGGTCAGGCAGGGCGGGTGACGTCACCATTCTACCACGTGACCACCATTCAAACAAACAAACCCCCTCCCCCCGCGCGCCAGCCCCGCCCCGCCCCTAGAGAGGCTACATATAAACGCTCTTCCCCAGGCAGATTTCACTGCGAAGGACTACCGGGCTGTAAGTTTGATACCCGGGTTGAGGGGCAGTCGAGGGGACGGCTGAGAAGCCTAGGCGGCTGAAGACCCGCGGGAACCCCCCCGACCTCGTTCAGTCCAAAGGCAGTTTTTGGTTCGGCTTAAAGAGAGGCAGGGTCGGGCTTTTCCTCGAAAGCCGCCGCCCTGCACTTGGCTTCCGAGGACAGACAAAGCACAGAAGAACCTGCACGCTGGGGGCGCTGAGGCCGGCCATGGTCATGGAAGTGGGCATCCTGGACGCCGGAGGCCTGCGGACGCTGCTAGGGGAGCGTGCAGCACAGTGCCTGCTGCTAGACTGCCGCTCCTTCTTCGCGTTCAATGCCGGCCACATAGCCGGCTCTGTCAACGTGCGCTTCAGCACCATCGTGCGGCGCCGGGCCAAGGGCGCCATGGGCCTGGAACACATAGTGCCCAACGCCGAGCTGCGCGGCCGCCTGCTGGCCGGCGCCTACCATGCTGTAGTGCTGCTGGACGAGCGCAGTGCCGCCCTGGACGGCGCCAAGCGCGATGGCACCCTGGCCCTGGCTGCCGGCGCGCTCTGCCGGGAGGCGCGAGCCGCGCAAGTCTTCTTCCTCAAAGGTACGCCTTCGGGGAAGCTCAGCACTGCCCATACGCCCGCCCGTCGAAACCTTACCGGGGCCCTTGGCCCTCAGCTCTTGGGACTCTGCCCCACCTGCAGCGCATGGGCGCTGGAGTCGTATCTCTGGGGACTTGTCGTTGGCTTTGTTTGGCTCTGGGAACAAAGACTTGCCTGGACCACTCCGATGTAAACTTCCAGCCTTTGGTGGGTGGGGGAGTTAGTTGTATGAAGGTGCCCTGTCCCAGCGGTGCTAATGGAAAAAATGTCTTTGTATTCTCAGGAGGATATGAAGCTTTTTCGGCTTCCTGCCCGGAGCTGTGCAGCAAACAGTCGACCCCCATGGGGCTCAGCCTTCCCCTGAGTACTAGCGTCCCCGACAGCACAGAATCTGGCTGCAGTTCCTGCAGCACCCCACTCTATGATCAGGTTAGTAGGAGCCCGTGCCAGAGGGGAGAAGAAAGATCTGGCAGAGCCTGGAAGAGCAGTGCCAGTAAGAATATAGAAAGTGACCTGCAGCTTTATTTATAACAGGGGACATAGGGATATGATTTATTCCACAGTTAAAGTAGTCTAATGCAGCTGAGTGTCTTAATTGCTGGCACTACAGAAATGAACTTGTTGGCCTTGTGCAGGCAAGTAGCTTAGTCCTCTATTTATTTATATTCTAACAACATTACTGAGAGTTCACCCAGTATCTGAAACTGACTTTTCCAGAAGGAAGTTTTTGTGGGTGTGGGTATTGGCATTGACCATGAGCAAGCTTGACAAGTGTTGGATATTTCTGGATTTCAGGGTGGCCCAGTGGAGATCCTGCCCTTTCTGTACTTGGGCAGTGCCTATCACGCTTCCCGAAAGGACATGCTGGATGCTTTGGGCATCACTGCCTTGATCAACGTCTCCGCCAATTGTCCCAACCATTTTGAGGGTCACTACCAGTATAAGAGCATCCCTGTGGAAGACAACCACAAGGCAGACATCAGCTCATGGTTCAATGAAGCAATCGACTTCATAGGTAAATGGAACGGATGCCTGGGACTTTCCTGTCTCTCCCATTTTAGTCACTGAGTCCAACCTATATGGCAAGGATTTGAAGGATACTTTTCTGAGCCTATTTCCAGACAATTAAGTATCAGTCTGATGTGCAAAATCCCTGTAAAATATGGTTTTAATGTCCCATATTTGGGGACAGATTAGCTTACAGAGGCTCAGAAAATTGAGTTGACTTGTAAGAGATCAATCTGCTAAGTAGAAACACACCGTCTGGGTCCCTTGCTGTCTTTTGCGCATGGCCCACATTAATTCTACATACAGTGTCCATGTGATGGCATGAGGTGATGTTGACCATCTCTGGATAAGACACAACATGACATTTCTTAGACACTCTCTACCTGGGCTTGGGGTAGTTCTCCTGAGCTTTCAAGTAACCAGCCACCCTTTATTTTCTAGACTCCATCAAGAATGCCGGAGGAAGGGTGTTTGTCCACTGCCAGGCAGGCATCTCCCGATCAGCCACCATCTGCCTTGCTTACCTTATGAGGACTAACCGAGTCAAGCTGGACGAAGCCTTTGAATTTGTGAAACAGAGGCGAAGCATCATCTCCCCCAACTTCAGCTTCATGGGCCAGCTGCTGCAGTTTGAGTCCCAGGTGCTGGCTCCACACTGTTCAGCAGAGGCTGGGAGCCCTGCTATGGCTGTGCTTGACCGGGGCACCTCCACCACGACTGTCTTCAACTTCCCTGTCTCCATCCCTGTTCACCCCACGAACAGTGCCCTGAGCTACCTTCAGAGCCCCATCACGACCTCTCCCAGCTGCTGAAAGGCCACGGGAGGTGAAGATTTTCACATCCCACCAGAACTCCAGGCTCCTTTTTGAGAGGAGAAATGCAATAACTCCAGGGTGGGGGCTCACGAGGGCTGGTCCTTATTTATTTAATTCACCCGAGTTCCACTGGGTTCCTAAGCAGCCATAATGATGACAAGGTGTCAAGACATTTGCTGAACTCAGCACATTCGGGACCAATATATAGTGGGTACATCAAGTCCCTCTGACAAAATGGGGCAGAAGAGAAAGGACTCAGTGTGTGAGCTGGTTTCTTTTTCTTGCCCCCGTTTTTTGTAGAGTCTCTTCATGCTTGACATACCTACCAGTATTACCATTCCCAACGACACATATACTTATGTGATGAGTATATACCTTATTTATTTTTGTGTAGGTGGTCTGCCTTCACAAATGTCATTGTCTACTCCTAGAAGAACCAAATACCTCAACTTTTGTGTTTTGAGTACTGTAATATCCTGTAAATATATCCTAAGCAGATTTGTTGTCAGCACTGATAGAAAACACCAGTGTTGGGTTTTTTTTAGTTGTCAACAGTTGTATGTTTGCTGATTATTTATGACCTGAAATAATATATTTCTTCTTCGAAGAAGACATTTTGTTACATAGGGATGACTTTTTTATACAATGGAATAAATTATGGCATTTCTATTGAAGTCTTAATGCTTTATTTCTTTGGCAGCCCCATCTGATCCCTCTCTCACTAGTGAAATAGGGAAGCATTTGGACAAGGACCTGTAGAATGTGTGTTGAGATTTGATTCCATACCCTGTGGCCTCTTGGTAACATGAAAATGGCTGAGTTGCAAGGAAGACCAGTGAGATCTGTCATGAAAAACCTGCTGTGGTAGCTGAACTCTTGGTATTGGGTCAATGCCCCCCATATTCCTTTTAACAGCTGTGTAAACTACCATATTACCCTGGTAAACTAAGTGTCCCCAAGAGCCAAAGCTAGGAAGAAATGGTAATTTGCCTGGATTGTTTTTTTCATTTAATGCCTTCATTGGGGGTAATATAAAGTCTCCCTTTCCTCTCTGAGCTATACTAGGATTATGAAGATGATGAATGTTTTCCAAAACACTGTGTTCCTACTATGTGCAAGGCAGTGTGTGCTACCTACTGCCAGAAATAGCAACATGTATTGCGAGTGATGCTGAAACCCTACACAGCTAAGTGATAAGAACAGGGGAATGGGAATCCACATCTATTTTGTTTGTGTTCCATAAGCTTTGTACTTTTATCACTTGCCTATTTTATACTTTTTTGGTTTTATTTTTGTGAAAATAATGCATAGACTGGCCAAAAAAATGAGAAAAAAAAATCCAAGCACTATATGCAAATACAATATAGAAAAATCACCCTGCAACAGCCCTGTCCCCCACCTAGCCATTGTTAATGTTTTGAAAGGCATTCACACCAACAACTCTGCATACAGATGTGGCATTTTTGGTTGCTGCCTCCATCAGGTCACCTGCTGCTCTGATTTTATAATTTTGTTTGAGAAGATAAGCAGTTAAACCTGACTTGCTCTAGAGCAATATTCTGAATTTTTACTCTCTTGCCAACCAGACTGAAACAGAGAAGGTGTAATCAACCACTGACCCATAATCCAGTCTATAATGTCGAATTAAGCAACCGGGAAGCTCCTGGGTTACTGGCCCCTTAGTGCCTGCTCTCCACCCCCTGCTTGCTTCTGGCCAAAGTGCTGTGGGAAGCAGAAAAGGAAACATTCCACTCGACTTTTCCGGGGGTGCTCTGTGCTATGGTCCTGGTCCAGCTCCGTTGTTCAAGGTCTTCACACAGATTAGTATCCTTGACCTTTCTCCATTGGTCCACCGTTCACAACTTAACTCTCAGGGTCTGAAAGATCTTTGCGTTCTAAGTTCTAAGAACTCACCGTGGGCTGGCTAGCTCATTTCCTCAGCAGGGTTTCCAATTACAAGTATATTCATGCCTATCAAAACAAACCGTACCCAATGTTTTTATCAAAGCCTAGAAATTTACTATTGCGGATATCTCCCTTCGTGGAAATGTACCAGTGACGTCGAGTCTGTGGTAGATGCCATGGCTGACTTCCCCGTGGGCTAGGGCCTTTACTTTCTGCTTGGCAGGCGCTGGCTGAACCAAAATTAATCTCCAGTGTGATCCACGCAGTGGAAAAATACAGCGGCTGCCTAAGGGAGCCGCCAGTGAAAACAAGTCATTCGCTTCTCCTGGCTCAAGGCACTCTGCCTCATTCATGCCAGCCCTGGGAGCCAGGGGTGACAACCCCCTATCCCTATGCATCTGATTCGCTGTGTTCAGGCCCTCCAGAAAATGTCACATTTGGCCTGAGTCTGCTTTTCTTGGGACACAATCAGTGCCTCATAATGAAAAGAAACTTGAAGTCTTATTAAATTCCCACCCCCCACCCCCAGATTGAAATAGAGACAACTTCATCATCATTTGATACTGATCATGTGGTAATGATAATGGCTGTCAGTTTTAGAGCTAGCACTGGGTGCCAGGCCCTGCTAACGTACACATTCACATTTCAACTTTCACACCAGCACCCATTTTACAGAGGAGGAACTTGCGGCTCACTAGTGAGAGAGAAATGAGTCCATGAATATAAAGTCCCCGGAGAAATTTTCGGCTCCCTTTGCCTCTGTCCTGATGATTTCTGGCAGTTCTCCCACTCCCTAAAATGATCAGTTTGCACTGGATCTAATGGGCAAGGTTCCTCTCAGCTTTCTAATTCTAGGATTTAAAAAAATGTCGTTATGCATACTTTAGGTTTTTCTGTGGTTTCCAGGCACCCATTATTTCATTAGGTTACTTCCAACCCCCACCGCTGCCTCCACCGCATCCTCTCCTTTCCCTGGAATCTTGCAAATCATAGGCAATTTGCTTTGGATTTGCAGCCCCGGGCGTCCATTTCCCTCCCTGCCCGGCCCCATCCAAGGATGACATCATGGCGTGTACACCTTTAAGATTATATAAACCTATGCTCCTACAGTGGCCTCCATCTCCATGGTAACGCGGAGGAGTTTCCCTTTTGTGAGGAAAGCTGTCATGTCACTTCCTGCTGCTGACAAATCAGTTTAGGAGATTAAAATGAAGGGGGGCGGGGTGCCTTTGAGAAGTGCTGGCCGCGGTGGTTTCTGGTTGCCATACACAGAGGCAAACAATGCCTGCGCCCCGCTGGCCGTTCCGGTTTCCCACCGGGTGGATGCAGGTCACCCCGGGCTGTTTTTCTCCGCAGGTTGCATTCTGGGGAGCAGGTGGAAGTTCTGCTCACCGCTCGGGACTTTTCTGGGTCTCTGCTGGGCAAGCCTGTTCGAGAACAGCCTCTGGGTGCAGTCCAGCAGCCTCTGCGCCCCTTCGTCAGCCCAGGTGTCTTCCATCCTGCGGAGAACAAAGAGAGCGCACTGCTAGCACAACAATGGACAGGCTGTGCTCTGCCAAGGAAAATGCCTAAAAAACACCTTTTTTTTTTTTTTTCCAGATTAATGTAAGGGTACAAACGACTAGGTTCAATGTTGGCATTTGTTAGGTAGTGTCCTTGTTGTAGTTGTGTCCTGCACCCAGAAGATGTGTGCCATGTACCCTTACTTTGTGCTCATTAAGTGGGAACACGCCCATTCCCTCCCTCTCCCCTCTTCATCCTGAATTTACCTGAGTTTTTCTTACCTGGGTGTGTATTAGATTGTCTACTGGCTTCATATTAACATTGAGTATCTTGGAAGCACCTTATTCTTTTTTTTTTTTTTGAGATGGAGCCTCAAGCTATCCCCCTGGGTAGAGTGCCATGGTATCACAGCTCATAGCAACCTCCCATTCCTGGGCTCAAGCGAGTCTCCTGCCTCAGCCTCCCAAGTAGCTGGGACCACAGGCGCCGGCCACGACGCCTGGCCATTTTTTAGTTGCAGCCATCATTGTTGTTTGGCGGCCCGGGCTGGGGGATTCGAACCCACCACCTTAGGTGTATGTGGCTGGCGCCTTAGCCACTTGAGCCACAGGCGCTGAGCCGAAGCACCTTATTAGGCTTTTTAGGCTAGCAGCAGGCCCACCGATTCATACACTCATTCATTCATTTGTTTAACAAATATTTTTTGACTGGAAAGGCTTAGAAAAAACGTTGGTGCAAGAGGAAGTTCCTACTCCTTAAGTAGCTAACAGTGTGAGTAGGGAGTGTATAAATCAGATAAGAAATAAGGATGAAGGCTATGAAGGTGGAACTCTAAAAGGTAGGCCGCTCTCCATTTGGGTGAAGAGTCAGGCCTTTCTGAGCTGGTGACTGGGTAAGACCTGAATGATACAACCCAGCTGCCCATTTAAGGTGAGCTGGGGAGAGGTTCCAGGCCAAGGAGGCAGCAATGACTTGAAGTTTGAGAAGGATCTTTGTGGCCTGGCCAATAGAGAGCACTTGACTTAGAGTCTACTGGACATGGATTCAGGGCCTGATTCTGTCACTTTTTAGCCAGTGTAAGTTATTAAAGTCTTTAAAGTTCAGTTTCCCCATCTGTAGTATAGTCCGATAATCCCCAGCCTCCAAAAGCCCTGTAAGAATTAAATGAAAGGTAGTCACTTCTGGGCACATCAGAGAGGCTTGGGAAAGGTGTATTGTCCTCTTGTGGACAGCTGGTCCCCATCTGTCCCTTGAGCAGCAGTGTCCCTCCCTAGAGTGTCCTGGCAAAGGGAAACAGGAGAAGTGGGCTATTCTGTCAACTCGGTGAGACCTTAGGCCAGCATTCATAATATGTTTTTCTCTGGGCCATCAGAGCTTTGGAGAAGTGGCCTTTGTTCTGAGATCTTCTAGCCCTGCCCCACTGACATGGGACAAGGAGCTTCCGTTTTCTGGGCCTCAGTTCCCTCATCCGTAAGAAGCACCTAAAATGAACTTCATCTATCCTTTCCTTCCATGCAACTGGCACTGCTAAGACCCCCTCCGTATCCAAGCTTGGGAAGGCTCTGGAATTCTCAGTGTTTATTTGAGCTTGTACCGGTAGACAAAGCAGGGGAAGAAAGAGACACTTCCTGGAAGGGCCAGTGAAGGGCCTGGATGTTTGGAAGGTAGGTTGGTGTAATGGAGATGTGACCGGTCCTTGCAGGAATGGGTTCTCCTGTGGGGGCATTACATACTTCTGACTCTTGGGCCCACCGCTCTGTCCAAGTCTGGGCAGTCCCCTGCAATAGACTACACTGCAAAAATGGGCTTTAAGATCAGTACAAATCATTCATTCATTCAATAAGCATGCATTAAGTACACAGGGTTTGTAAAACACTAAAAACGACATTCTGAGATCCTGTTCCAAACGCTGGAGACAAAACTGATAGGTCAGCTAGTATCGATATGACTTTGTGCAGATTATTTCTCTTCTCAAAGGCTCAGTTTTTACAAACTTTCAAGAGGGAGTAATGAAAGTACTTGCTTCATGTGGTAGCTGTCTAGATGAAATGAAATGGTGTACATACAAAATCTTTTGCATAGTACTTGACACATAGTAAGCAGTAAGTGTCGTTGTTTTAGCCATCGTCATTATCATCATTATAAAGGAAAGATGAAAAGAAGAAACAAATCCATTTTGAAGCCATCAAATTTTAATCTCTAGCCTTTCCCCTAACTGCAGACTTAAATATCCAATAGCTTCTTTGACATTTCCACTTGCTTGTCA